TGTGGCGCCTGTGGCTGTGACACGTGGCGACTGCGCTTGTGAAATGCAGCGCTCGCGGCTGTGAAATGCAGCGTCTGCGGCTGTGAAATGCGGCGCCCGCGGCTGTGGCGCGCGGCGCCTGTGGCTGCGACACGCGGCGCCTGCGGCTGTGACGCGCGGCGCCTGCGGCTGTGAAATGCGGCGCCCATGGCTGTGAAACGCCGCGCCTGCGGCTGTGAAATGCGGCGCCCGCGGCTGTGACACGCGGCGCCTGTGGCTGCGACATGCGGCGCCTGTGGCTGTGACGCGCGGCGCCTGCGCCTGTGGAATGCGGCGCCCGCGGCTGTGAAATGCGGCGTCTGCGGCTGTGAAATGCGGCGCCCGCGGCTGTGGCGCGCGGCGCCTGCGGCTGCGACGCGCGGCGCCTGTGGCTGTGACATGTGGCGCCTGCGCCTGTGAAATGCGGCACCCGTGGCTGTGAAATGCGGCGCCCGCGGCTGTGACGCGCGGCGCCTGCGGCTGCGCCGCGCGGCGCCTGCGGCTGTGACACGCGGCGCCTGCGTCCGTGAAATGCGGCAGCCGCGGCTGTGAAATGCGGCGTCTGCGGCTGTGAAACGTGGCCCCCGCGGTTGTGACGCGCGGCGCCTGCGGCTGCGACGCGCGGCGCCTGCGGCTGCGACGCGCGGCAGCCGCGGCTGTGAAATGCGGCGCCCCCGGCTGTGGCGACCGGCGTCTGCGGCTGTGAAACGCGGCGCCCGTGGCTGTGACGCGCGGCGCCTGCGGCTGCGACGCGCGCCCCCCCCTGGCTGTGACGCGCGGCGCCTGCGTCTGTGAAATGCGGCACCCGTGGCTGTGAAATGTGGCACCCGCGGCTATGAAATGCGGCGCCCGCGATTGTGACGCGCGGCGCTTCCGGTTGCGACGCGCGGCGCCTGCGGCTGTGACATGTGGCGCCTGCGTCTGTGAAATGTGGCGCCCGCGGCTGTGAAATGCGGCGTCAGCGGCGGTGAAATGCGGCGCCCGCGGCTGTGACGCGCGGCGCCTGCGGCTGCGACATGTGGCGCCTGCGGCTGTGACGCGCGGCGCCTGCGCCTGTGAAATGCGGCGCCCGCGGCTGCGACACGCGGCGTCTGCGGCTGTGAAATGTGGCACCCGCGGCTGTGACAGGCGGCGCCTGCGGCTGCGACGCGCGGCGCCCGTGGCTGTGGCACGCGGCGCCTGCGTCTATGAAATGCGGCACCCGCGGCTGTGAAATGCGACGTCTGCGGCTGTGAAATGCGGCGCCCGCGGCTGTGGCGCGCGGCGCCTGTCGCTGCGACATGCGGCGCTTGCGGCTGTGACACGCGGCGCCTGCGTTTGTGGAGTGCGGCACCCGCGGCTGTGAAATGCGGCGTCTGCGGCTGTGAAATGCGGCGCCCGCGGCTGTGACGCGCGGCGCCTGTGGCTGTGACATGTGGCGCCTGCGCCTGTGGAGTGTGGCACCCGCGGCCGTGAAATGCGGCGTGTGCGGCGGTGGAACGCGGCGCCCGCGGCTGCGACGCGCGGCGCCTGCGGCTGCGACGCGCGGCGCCTGTGGCTGTGACATGTGGCGCCTGCGTCTGTGAAATGCGGCGCCCCTGGCTGTAAAATGCGGCGTCTGCGGCTGTGACGCGTGGCGCTCGCGGCTGTGGCGCGCGGCGCCTGCGGGTGCGACGCGCGGCGCCTGCGGCTGTGACACGTGGCGCCTGCGCCTGTGAAGTGCGGCGCCCGCGGCTGTGAAATGCGGCGTCTGCGGCTGTGAAATGCGGCGCCCGCGGCTGTGACATGCGGCGCCTGCGGCTGCGACATGCGGCGCCTGCGGCTGTGGCACGCGGCGCCTGCGCCTGTGAAATGCGGCGCCCGCGGCTGTGAAATACAGCGCCTGCGGCTGTGAAACGCGGCGCCCGTGGCTGTGATGCGCGGCGCCTGTGGCTGCGACATGTGGCGCCTGTGGCTGCGACATGTGGCGCTTGCGTCTGTGAAATGTGGCACCCGCGGCTGTGAAATGCGGCGTCTGTGGCTGTGAAATGCGGCGCCCGCGGCTATGACGCGTGGCGCCCGTGGCTGCGACACGTGGCGCCTGTGGCTGTGACGCGCCGCGCCTGCGTCTGCGAAATGTGGCGCCCGTGGGCGTGGCGCGTGGCGTCTGCGGCTGTGGGATGTGGCGCCCGCGGCTGTGGCACGCGGCGCCTGCGGCTGCGACGCGCGGCGCCTGCGGCTGTGACATGCGGCGCCTGCGTTTGTGAAATGCGGCACCCGCGGCTGTGAAATGTGGCGTCAGCGGTTGTGAAATGCGGCGCCCGCGGCTGTAACACGCGGCGCCTGTGGCTGGGAAGTGCGGCGCCTGCGGTTGTGACACGTGGCGCCTGCGGCTGTGAAGCGCGGCGTCTGCGGCTGTGAAATGCGGCGCCTGCGTCCGTGAAATGCGGCGGCCGCGGCTGTGACGCGCGGCGCCTGCGGCTGCGACATGCGGCGTTTGTGGCTGTGACATGTGGCGCCTGCGTCTGTGACATGCGGCGCCCGCGGCTGTGAAACGCGGCGTCTGTGGCCGTGAAACGCGGCGCCCGTGGCTGTGACATGTGGCGCCTGTGGCTGCGACGCGCGGCGCATGCGGCTGTGACACGTGGCGCCTGCGTCTGCGAAGTGCGGCACCCATGGCTGTGAAATGGTGAGATGCGGCGTCTGCGGCTGTGAAACGCGGCGCCCGTGGCTGCGTCGCGCGGCGCCTGCGGCTGTGACGCGCGACGCCTGTGGCTGTGAAATGTGGCGCCCGTGGCTGTGAAATGCGGCGTCCGCGGGCGTGAAACGCGGCGCCCGCGGTTGTGACATGCGGCGCCTGTGGCTGCGACATGTGGCGCCTGTGGCTGTGACACGTGGCGCCTGCGCTTGTAAAATGTGGCACCCGTGGCTGTGAAATGCGGCGCCTGTGGCTGTGAAGCGCGGCGCCCGCGGCTGTGACGCGTGGCGCCTGCGGCTGTGACACGCGGCGCCTGTGACTGTGACATGTGGCGCCTGCGTCTGTGAAATGCGGCGCCCGCGGCTGTGAAATGTGGCGTCAGTGGCTGTGAAATGCGGCGCCCGCGGCTGTGACATGTGGCGCCTGCGGCTGCGACATGCGGCGCCTGTGGCTGTGAAGCGCGGCGCCTGCGGCTGTGACGTGCGGCGCCTGTGGCTGTGAAATGCGCGGCGCCTGCGTCTGTGAAATGTGGCGCCCGTGGCTGTGAAATGCGGCGTCTGCGGCTGTGAAATGTGGCGCCCGTGGCTGTGACATGTGGCGCCTGTGGTTGCGAAATGTGGCGCGTTCGGCTGTGAAATGGCGCCTGTGGCTGTGAAATGTGGCGCATGTGGCTGTGAAATGTGGCGTCTGCGGCTGTGAAATGTGGCGCCTGCGGCCGTGAAATGCGGCGCCTATGGCTGTGAAATGTGGCGCCTGTGGCGCCAAACCCTACAATTGGGAAACTACCATGTGTAGTTTCCGCATTGTGCGTTTCCTGCGTACTGGGTTGAGTTTACGTGTATGCGCGTGGCATTATATTTGCCTAGTGTGCTTACGTGCGTACTATGCTTAGCGGCTGACATCACATACTTCGTCTGCGTATGCTGTGTCATTGCATAGCGCATCCTTTGAACACCCGCGCGACCTGACCCGTCCGTTAGAGTTCGCGCGTGCTGGTCGAGCGCGCCCCACACTTGAATGTCCCGCCCGCCCGACCCGACCCGCCCGTCAAAGTCCGTCCGCCCGACGGCAGCTGGTTTCGCCGACAGGAACTGGTTTCGCCGACGGAGCCGGCTTCGCCGACGGAGCTGGTTTCGCCAGGCGGCGAAACCAGCCGGGCGAAACCAGCCGTCGGCGAAAGCAGCGGTCGCCTTGCTACGTTGTGTCAAAGCGCGCATTTGCAGCTGGTTCGAGGGCATGCCTGGGAACTTCCAGGGCCGCGCTGCTCGCGAGCGCCCTCTCTTTCACGGGGTGGGAGGGGTAGGGACGCAAGAGAGCGAGAGGCGGCACAAGCATGATTCTGCCCCGAGCGACCTCCGCCAGGGAGTTGATTGCGCATGTTTTCGCTGTCTGTCCTGCGCCTCTTAGGCGTATATGCGTTATCCCGTCTTTCGTTCGATATGCTTGATCTGTCCGTCTGCAGTCTGGATGTGTCATTTACGTTTGCCATATGCGCTCAATTGTGATACATGTTTGTCCTCAGTGCCGCCTCGTTGGACGCCCGCCACCGTGCCGCTGTAGACACATCGTGTGGAGTGACCTCAGGTCCTCACTGATTCTGAATCTCGTGCAGTGAACACAAAGAAACTGAAGGCCCAGGGCCCGAATTTCCTTGGATCTCCCCGCGCTTCTGGGCGAAAAACGCGGGCGCCGCCAGGACGCGCCGGGCTCCCTTACCCGAGGCCTTGGACGCGCCCTCGGGATCCGAAGTCCCAACGCGCTTCAAGATGGTCCCCAGGACCCATCCATGGGGAGGAGGAGGAGGAGGAGGAGGAGGAGGAGGAGGAGGAGGAGGAGGAGGAGGAGGAGGAGGAGGAGGAGGAGGAGGAGGAGGGAGGAGGAGGAGGAGGAGGGAGGAGGAGGAGGGAGAAGGGAGGAGGGAGGAGGGAGGAGGGAGGAGGGAGCTGTCGTGGAGGGAGGTCTGTCGGGTTTTCGGGAGCTTCGAGGGGCCAGCCTCGGAAGCCCAAGCCATGGAGAACCTTTGTAGGGTTCTCGCATGCCCTGTGTGGGGGAAAAACCACCCCGACCCCGACAGTTGGCGTTTACTAAACGGCCCTGGGCGTTTACTGAACAGCCCTGCCCTGTCCGATTACTTCCATGGGAGCGTTTACTGAACGGCTTCGCTTGTCGGGGTGCTTATTATTGGAGTGGATTTTCTGCTCACTATAAGAGGGGCCCGAAAAACGCGCCGCCGCCAGGCCGCTGGAAGCCTACGCTCCAAGACGAGCCCGCAGGGCCTCCGACAGGGCCCCCCACAGGCCCGCCAAAGAGACCACCGAGAGGCAACCAAGAGGCCGCCCAGAGGCTCCAAGAGTCTCCCCAGGAGGTCCGCAGCCATTTTGGCTCAAGTAGGCATTTCTGTTCCGAGGGAAGGGCGCCCTGGTCCGCAGAAGTACAGAGAGTGAGGGAGATTTCTCTGTCACTCACAAATGATGCGCACCCGCGCGACCATGCTAGGAAGACGTTGGGAGCAGCTCGCAGTGGTCGGTCTCGTTCTGACGTCGCCCGCAGGCGCCCTCACGCGGGGGAGCCCCGACCCGAAGCCCGTGCCGCGCGTTCGCCAGACGCCCATGCCGGAGGCGCCCAGCTTCTTGGCGCCCGCTGCCGCCGAGGAGGTGCAGTCTCACGTGCGGGCCTGGTTCGACGTGATCGAGTCGGAGCTGTCGGAGCTGACGACGGTCGACTACTCGAAGCGTGCGGCCTGCGTGCCAGTGACTGGCGCCTACATCACCCTGGTGGTCCACATCTCAAAGAGCAGCTACAGACTCCACTGTGGTGAGTTCAGTGGCTCTCGTGGCCCGCCACTGAAGGAGATCCTGGACGTCATCGTGCCAGGCCTCCCGGCTGACGTGGACGTGTACGTGCCCTTCGGCCTGCACGACGGCGTGCAGAACGTCCGTTCTGGCAACTTGGGCATACCGGTCTTCGGCACTATGTATCACCCGATGTATTCTTCTATCGCTGTGCCTTTCGCGATGGGCACGGTCCGGTCTCCTCTGCCATATGTCAACACGCCGGTTGTCGGCTGGGACAAATATGTGAAAGAGAATCTAAAATGTAACAGCACCAGCGCGCGCATCAAGAAGGCTGTCTTCCGCGGCAGAACGCAGTGGAGGGGGATGAAGTTCGGGACATGCACGCAGAGCTGCGGCTGGGAAGACAATGGCCGGTGGCTCCTTCACATGCTTGGCGAGTCTCACCCTGACATGTTCGACACTGAAGCCACGAAGATCAACCACAGACGCAAGAGAAGTAATGTCAGCGACTTCCTGCCCTTGACGGAACAGCTGTGCAACTACCAGGCTATATTGAACGTGGGGAGCAACAGCGACTGGGCCGAAAGACTCAGGCAGTGTTTTTACGGAAACGCCGTCGTCATGTTGCCCGAGAATCCGCCATCAGAGTTTTTCACCAGCTTCATGCGACCGTGGAGACATTTCTGGCCCATCAAGCCTGACCTCAGCGATGTCGTTGAACAAGTGTCCCATGTCATGTTGCTGGAGAACACGTCGCGGCAGCTGCAGGGTCAGAAGGATTTTGGCAGAAAGTACTTGAGCGAGGAGTTTATGTACTATTACAACAAGCTGGCTATCATGGAGTACGACGCGCGGGTGAAGAGCTCGGTCGATAGGACGCAGGCTGTCCAGAGCAGCTTCGCCGCAGAAGAGGCGAGGTCCCTCCTTAAGCTGGGCGGTTGCCGTCGCTTCTATAAGCGTGCGTGCCCAGCTTCCCAAGCCAGGACTTGAGGGGATCTCGAAGGCGTTTGCCTTTCGAGGTCTCCCCCTGGCATCGTTTCCCCTCTTCCCGCCTCTCCTTCCCTCCTCTCCCCTTCTCTCTCCTTCCGCCTTTCCTTCCCCTGTCCATTGATCGGTGAATTGTACTTACGTTCGCATGCTCACCGCGCGTTTGGCGCGGCTCGCGGTTGGCGCGCAGTTGGCGCGCCGACCGTTTTCGCCACCACTGACCTTCGTCCTGATTGTGATAAGGTGCGGCTAAAAAAGTCCCCAGGAGGCCCCGAGAGGCCACGCACCCCAGGCGCGGCAAGAGGATTGGCCGAGGGCTACTGATATCTGCCGCCCCTTGTTGATATTTCAAGGGGTGTTTGGTGTGCTGGTTTCCTGTGTGTTTACACATTTGTTACGAAGGTCCCTGCCGGCCTCCTGCCCAGACCGCCGGCCACCCGAGGAGTTGCAGAAATTTCCAGGGTCGTCGGTCTTCCCGCGCAAGATGGTTCCGAGATGCCCTCCAAGACGGCTAAGATGGCCCCAAGGGAGCCTCTTGCTGGGGCTCCCTTGGGGCCACCTTAGCCGGTGATGACAGGCCGGAGGACCGCTTCTAGTATTGCTGGTCGTTGCACATGTCCTCGGCGTCTGCGTTTTCAAGGTGGTGTTTGTGGATGCCCTTGCCATCGCCATCGTGAGCATCGCCACCACCATCGCTAGTACCATCACCATTGCCAACGTTACCAACGCCACCATAATATCCCGAACTGAAGTGCCCACGCGCCAGCCCAGCCTTTGAGAAGCGATGGGAAGTTCTCGCCGACAAGTGCCATCGCAACCGTAGAGATGCGCTGGCAAGTGCCAATCAGCAACCACGCTGGTGACCGAATGGGTTTTGCCAAAACACGATGCGGGTGGGGGCAGGATGCTGGCGCTAACAATGGTGTTAACAATTCATTGGTGGCAGAATGCATTGCACCACATAGTTTACACCACAGCGTGCACCGCGTAGTTTGCAAGACCTAGATTACGCCACACAACGTGTCGTATCATTTTAGGTATTGGGCCTGAGCTGATAGGCTGCTGCGCTTAAGTGTTTTTCGGGCCTGGTCGCCTTCCGCCGCCTGCTGGGGCAAGTTCTGGGTCTCCTCCTCCTCCTCATCCTCCTCCTCGAGAAATAGAGAGAGAGAGAGAGAGAGAAAACAGAGAGAGAGAGAGAGAGAGAGCGAACCCCCCCTGCCTCCGCGCAGGCTCGCGGCCCTCCTATCGCTGGCGGTCGCCAGCCTCTCGGGGACGATGGTAAACCATCAATGCATAAACAGACTCATCAGTGCATAATGCTTGGTCGTTTATGCATAAAGCTTGTTTTAATACAGTAACTTTTGGTGAATACAGTAATGAATACAGTGGTGAATACAGTGCTGAATACAGTGGTTAATACAGTAATGAATACAGTGACGAATACAGTAATGAATACAGCAATGAATACAGTAATGAATACAGTAGGTGTAGGCAATAAGTGAATCCAGCAGTGGTTGAATACAGTACAGTAGGTGAATACAGGAGGCGAATACAAGAAGTGAATACAGCAGTGGTTGAATACAGTACAGTAGGTGAATACAGGAGGTGAATACAGCAGGTGAATACAAGAGGTGAATGCAGGAGGTGAGTACAGGAGGTGAATACAATAGGTGAACACAGGAGGTGAATACAGGAAGTGAATACAGGAGGTGAATACAGTAGGTGAACGCAGTAGGTGAACACGGTAGGTGACTACAGTAGGTGGATACAGTAGGTGAATACAGGAGGTGGCAGTATGTGAATACAGTAGGTGAGTGCAGGAGGTCAATACAGGAGGTCAATACAGGAGGTGAATACAGTAGGTGAATACAGTAGGTAAATCCAGTGGGTCAATACAGTAGGTCAATGCCGTAGGTCAATACAGTAGGCGAATACAGTGGATGAACACACGCCCGAAACGCACAACCCGGCAAGTATACATGGTAGTTTCCGAATTGTGGGTTTGGGCGCCGTTTCGCAGCTGCAGGCGCCACATGCGCCGCATTTCAAGTTTCATTGCCGCAGGCGCCACATGCGCCACATTTCACAGCCGCAGCCGCCACATGTGGCGCCTGTCGCTGTGACATGTGGCGCTTGCGTCTGTGAAATGTGGCACCCGTGGCTGTGAAATGCGGCGTCTGTGGCTGTGAAATGTGGCGCCCGTGGCTGTGACATGTGGCGCCTGTGGCTGCGACACGTGGCGCCTGCGGCTGTGGCACGCGGTGCCTGCGTCTGTGAAATGTGGCACCCGCGGCTGTGAAATGTGGCGTCTGTGGCTGTGAAATGTGGCGCCCGTGGCTGTGGCACGCGGCGCCCGTGGCTGCGACGCGTGGCGCCCGTGGCTGTGACATGTGGCGCTTGCGTGTGAAATGTGGCACCCGCGGCTGTGAAATGCGGCGCTTGTGGCTGTGAGATGTGGCGCCCGTGGCTGTGACATGCGGCGCCTGTGGCTGCGACGCGTGGCGCCTGTGGCTGTGGCACGTGGCGCCTGCGTCTGTGAAATGTGGCGCCCGTGGCTGTGAAATGTGGCGTCTGCGACGCGTGGCGCCTGCGGCTGCGACATGTGGCGCCTGTGGCTGTGACGTGCGGCGCCTGCGCCTGTGAAGTGCGGCGCCCGTGGCTGTGAAATGCGGCGTCTGCGGCTGTGAAATGCGGCGCCCGCGGCTGCGACACGCGGCGCCTGCGGCTGCGACGCGCGGCGCCTGCGGCTGTGACGCGTGGCGCCTGCGTCTGGGAAATGTGGCACCCGTGGCTGTGAAATGCGGCGCCTGCGGCTGTGAAATGCGGCGCCCGCGGCTGTGACACGCGGCGCCTGTGGCTGCGACATGTGGCGCTTGCGGCTGTGACATGCGGCGCCTGCGTCTGTGAAATGTGGCACCCGTGGCTGCGAAATGCGGCGTCTGCGGCTGTGAAATGTGGCGCCCGCCGCTGTAACGCGCGGCGCCTGCGGCTGCGACACGCGGCGCCTGCAGCTGTGACACGTGGCGCCTGCGTCTGTGCAATGCGGCGCCCGCGGCTGTGAAATGCGGCGTCTGTGTCTGTGAAATGTGGCGCCCGTGGTTGTGGCATGTTGCGCCTGCGGCTGCGACGCGCGGCGCCTGCGGCTGTGGCATGCGGCGCTTGCGCCTGTGAAATGCGGCACCCGTGGCTGTGAAATGCTGCGTCTGCGGCTGTGAAATGTGGCGCCCGTGGCTGTGGCACGCGGCACCTGTGGCTGCGACATGTGGCGCCTGCGGCTGTGGCACGCGGCGCCTGCGCATGTGAAATGTGGCACCCGTGGCTGTGGAATGCGGCGTCTGTGGCTGTGAAGCGTGGCGCCCGTGGCTGTGACATGTGGCGCCTGTGGCTGCGACGCGCGGCGCTTGTGGCTGTGGCACGTGGCGCCTGCGCTTGTGAAGCGCGGCACCCGCGGCTGTGAAATGCGGCGTCTGCGGCTGTGAAATGTGGCGCCCGCGGCTGTGATGCGCGGCGCCTGTGGCTGCGACATGCGGCGCCTGCGGCTGTGACGCGCGGCGCCTGCGGCTGTGAAATGCGGCACCCGCGGCTGTGAAATGCGGCGTCTGCGGCTGTGAAACGCGGCGCCCGCGGCTGTGACATGCGGCGCCTGCGGCTGCGACGCGTGGCGCCTGTGGCTGTGACATGCGGCGCCTGCGCCTGTGAAATGTGGCACCCGCGGCTGTGAAATGCGGCGTATGTGGCTGTGAAATGTGGCGCCCGCGGCTGTGGCGCGCGGCGCCCGTGGCTGCGACGCGTGGCGCCCGTGGCTGCGACATGTGGCGCTTGCGTGTGAAATGTGGCGCCCGCGGCTGTGACATACGGCGTCCGTGGCTGTGAAATGCGGCGCCCGCGGCTGTGGCGCGCGGCGCCTGTTGCTGCGACATGCGGCGCCCGTGGCTGTGACACGTGGCGCCTGCGTCTGTGACATGCGGCGCCCGCGGCTGTGAAACGCGGCGCCTGTGGTTGTGAAATTCGGCGCCCGCGGCTGTGACGCGCGGCGCCTGCGGCTGCGACATGTGGCGCTTGCGGCTGTGACACGCGGCGCCTGCGTCTGTGAAATGCAGCGCCCGCGGCTGTGAAACGCGGCGTCTGCGGCGGTGAAATGCGGCGCCCGTGGCTGTGACGCGCGGCGCCTGCGGCTGCGACGCGTGGCGCCTGCGGCTGTGACACGTGGCGCCTGCGTCTGTGAAGTGCGGCGCCCGCGGCTGTGAAATGTGGCGTCTGCGGCTGTGAAATGTGGCGCCCGTGGCTGTGGCGCGCGGCGCTTGCGGCTGCGACGCGTGGCGCCTGCGGCTGTGACGCGCGGCGCCCGCGTCTGTGAAATGCGGCAGCCGTGGCTGTGAAATGCGGCGCCTGTGGCTGTGAAATGCGGCTTCCCATGGCTGCGACACGCGGCGCCTGCGGCTGCGAGGCGCGGCGCCTGCGGCTGTGACGCGCGGCGTGCTCGAGCCGCCTCGGGGGGCTCGACGGCTCGAGCTGCAGGCCAATCGGGCCAAAGGTTGGGCCGATGATTTCGCGCGTCTGCCGGGAGTAAGAATGATTGGAGCTGTCGGGCGGCGCTCGGGTGCTGGGCGAAGAGCCGCCCGTGGCCGAGCCTGTTGCGCCGCCGCCCCCGCCGCCTGACGCCCCTCCCTTTTTGCGCCGACCCCCCCCCCTGCTTGTCCGCGCCGTTTCTTGCTGCGCTTGTTTTCTGGGCAGCGGGGGGTCTGTCATTTTCAGGGCTGGTTTGAGCAAATTGGGTGGGCAGTATTGTATGCCTGTTGTCTTGCTTTCTAGTGACTAGTGATCACTCCAAGTACATTAAGTTCGGTGACTTGTCGGACGCGAACGCCGTGGGTTACTGGCTTCGTTTGATGAGGGAAAGGTGGGTCGCTGGGGCCACTGCAGGCCCCCCGCGCAAAACGCGGAGTGCTGCGCGCCGCAACCCCGCGCGGGACGATGCCATTGGACCCCGCCCCCGCCCGCTCAGATCGCCCGCTGAGCTCCGGGGTTTAAAATGCCTTACCGCTAGGGAGCGGGCTCAGGTCAGCGCTGGGAACTCGTTCTTGCGCACGACCATTGAATTCTTGAGTCCAGCCTTGAAGTTTGGGCTTCCAGTCGTGATAGAACACCCGGCCTCAGCTGAACACGCGGCGGACGCCCCCAGCAGTTGGCGCATCCCCGCGGTGAGACTGTTGGCCCGTCAGTCAGGGGCGAAGCTGCGCAGCATTGACCAG